ATTCGGATCGTCCAAGTGAGGCGCGAGGCGGACAGTTGCGAATTTCTCATGCCACGCGCAACCATCGCGTTCATTAGGATATTTTTGGCCGACCGTAGTTTCATTATCGAGATTAGCCAGAGCTTGGCTCGTTCTTGCTATATTACAAATCTAGGAGGAACGACCAGGAGCCTTCGGATTAAGCAACGGTTGTCCGATGACTCGTAATTATTTTCTCCGGTATTATGACCGCGGCCGATGCTCGCTAAGGAAATCCCATCGTTCTATTTTACACCGGAATTGCCGTGTGTAAAAGCCTAACTCCGATTCCGACTACGAGTGGTGGGGGGTGGGGTGGGGTGGGGTGGGGGCAGTGGGGGGGGGGGGGGAGGCAGTGGTGACAGTGGCTGAGTGGGAAGGGACGTTGACAACAATGACGGGCGTTCGAAAGTCATAGTTGGAGAAAAGAGTCGCCGAAGCAGGAGTCGAGCGATGGCTTAATACTGCGGGCGAAGGTCATTCGCCGCAGCCGGGATATCGAATTGCCAGCCTAGGAATACGAATCCCCGATGATAGCCGTAGGTGGGAGAGCCGTCGTAGAGGAGCTCTTCTCACTCGACGTGGGAATTTGGCAACTTGGCCGAGGGCTCCACGTTCTCTTCCTCCTCCTTCTCCCGCCAAGCGATCTTCCTCGCTCTTATCCACTCATCCTGATTTGTAGCCGGGTAGCCTTTATTACCCCAAGGCCAAACTCTTCCTTGTTGCGGGTGTATTTGCCGGATGGATTGCGGTTATCCGACGCAGCGACCGCGGATCTTCCGCTCCTCCTTCCATTGGCTTTGATCGTTACGCTCGACGAGGCCACGGAGCTAACTCTATTGATCGGCCATCGTCCATCGTCCATCCCCCCCTCCCCTCCCCCGTCCCCCGTCATGTTTTTCCACCACCGAATAACCAGCGCAACTTACAATGTCATGTCGGGCGTGCAGGCGCAGGTGCTACTCTTATATTTCTCGAAAATAATCACGTTAAAATGCGATTGGCTTATTGGCGTTGAGGAATGGGAAGTGGGTGGGGAGTGTATAGGATCAAGGTACCGTAATTGGGATATTTTTAATTTTTGTGAGAAATTTGATGCACTCGTTGGCGTAAATGCCTTATTATTATTATTATTAGCGAGTCGTTTCAATGCGGGTACCACTACATGACTGCCATTTAATGCGTGGGTGGGGTTAAGACAAAAATTATTATTAACATGTGGAAGAAATGTATGTGTTGTAGCACATTAAATGTATGTGAATTATTAGTATTTACATACAAATTGTCATTGAGTAACCTTCTACACATATGTCTACTTTGTATAAGAGCAAGGATCACGAAGTCTTTTTTAGCCAGGAAATGAAGAAGCGGGTATTGTCGAAAATTGTGCCAAAGAGTATTTGTAAGGTGATGTTTTTTTCTTCTTCTTTTTTTCTTTTTTTTTTTTTTCTTTACCTCAATGACTGTTTTTAAGTTATTAACGCTGAGATAGCTCTAGTTACAGCACCATTCATTCGCGTCGCCAAATCTAATCCGCATAAGTTCGTTTACGATTAATTGACAATCTTTATCCTTTTTTTTTTTTTTTTTTTCTCTTTTCTTTTTTTATTCCGTAAAGTGTGACTGCATGTTTATTTCGAGAAAATGAAACTAGTATGTAATTGAAATTGAAATTCCTTTTCTCAAAGCCATACTGATTACCATTATTGTACGTGCCTCGATCTTTTTTAGCAACTTTTTCAGTGTCTCGTGATCCTTATTTATTTATCAATAACAATTGTGTTATATAAAAACGTTGATATAATTCTTACTTTGAATTTTAACCTTCTCGTATGTACTGTACTTAATTGACGCTTATAAATCACATGAAACTATGTGACTATGATACATCGAGGAGTATTTTTAATAATAATCGCGAGTGTAAGGTGAGGTTTTGAAGTACGTAGAAATTGTTTGAGAATATAGACAAAAATGTAAGCTATAGTTTGTAATGTAGGCTGCTTACTACTAGGTAAGAAGCCTGCAATTTAATATGACAATGATCTCAAAATATATTCCGACAAGAAAAATACATGTGTATTCATTCATTTTTATGTAGGTGACACGAAAATCTGAAATAATGCGTGCGAAAATTGACGAATTTCGTTACATCAGAAAATTGTATAATATAATTACGCCGGCTGTTTAAACGAATCGTATACAATGTTACGTGGATTTATTTTTATTTTCTTTCGACAGTGTATAGAGAACGCGACAATCTGTATTTACGAATTGTGAATTATGCTGAATTATTAACATACATAACGATAAATTACATATAAATTTACTAATAATTTAGAGTAAACGACTGATATTATTATATGGAAAATAAATGACAATACAAGCCATCCGATTTTGCCAAATAGTAACATAAAATATATTGTTCCTCGACATTGATGTATAATCGGTTACGAATAATAATTATTATTATTATAACATTTATAAAAATTAATATTACATATGATTGTTCTAATGTATATGACAATAATGTAAGTCATAACTATTTGTGACTTAAATATATGCTTACATTTTATTTTGAAATTAATTAGTTATATTGTTTACGATCTGTAAGATAGAAAACTAATGTTCATTAGTTTGTAATTGTTAGTATCCTCGATAAATTATGATGTACATGTTGAAGAATGACTCGTTTAAAAATATTGGAATCACTACTCGTGTTATCTTATATTACACGTTGAATCAATTTCAACATAAATTATAAAGTTATTTTTAAATATGACACGATTGTCAAATGAATGTTATTTAATATTGCACTTTATTATAGTTAAAATAAATAAACAGGATGAATAAATAGGGATAATGCGGATCAATTTATAAAATAAATAGGTGTTGAGTTTTTGTAATTGTTTATTACAGTTATTTCATATTTAGAATGACAGCATTAGCTTAGTAAAAATATCCTTGTATATTTTGAAAAATTTGTTAATATTTAACTGACTGACTAGTGTAATCACAGTATATGAAAAACATTTTATTATGGAGAACTTTTATAAAAAAAAAAGAAATAAAAGACCAAATTCCTAATAGTAAGTGGAATTCCACGAGCACCACAAAAATTCAATACAAAGTGATCTTTTGTTTTTTTCACACTGTATAATGAAATCTTATGCATTGGGGAGCAAATCCGTGAAATCAGTTCTACTTTTATTTATCGACTGTAGTACGTTATTATGTGAATATTATTATTTATTATTTTCCTCGGTCGTGGAAAGAGACTCGAAGAAACCAAGATTAACATAGTTTTATCTTTAAGTGGTCAGTCAGTAATCGTAATGTACGGCAGTAATTTTACAAGCCGTAACCGAGGTCCGCACAGCGTATTCCGAGAGAATAACGCACTATCGGATCACGATCTATAATTGGGTGGAAGGAAATTGATCGATAGATTCCGGAATATCGATTTGTCCATGATTTCAGGTGTCTTACTTCCGTAAAGAGCCCTGACTGAAAGCGGGAGCGGGAGGGGGGAGAGGGACAATACGGAGAAAAAGTATGAAAAATAGGCTCGCCAGGGGACGTGAAAATCAATATTCGCCCCATACCATAAGCTCCCCGAAAGCCGTAAAACCTTTCGTAGTCCAAGTATCATGCAAATACTCATGAATCCTGCGTATCGCCTGCCCAACTCGTCCCTCGCGTCGCTTCCTAGTTATCTGGTAATCTAAGCGTCGCCGGGAAGCGAATCGCGCGCTTGCGCGTTAGTCTGGCGGGCCGATGAAGGAGCTACGGAGTGGACGACCACGGCTACGAAGACAACAGGTGTATATCCCTCCCACTCTCTCACGGGCGTGCGACTCTATGGATGACCTCCCTCGTGTCGTTCGACATCACACGACTCGACCAAGAGGCGCGCAGGGATAAATGTATACGCACGGGTCTACGGAGCTTTTAGTTGACAGCTCAGTACGTAGGACGGAACAAGTAGACGCAGCTTAGTGTGCGCGTGAGGAGGTGTTGTTTAGCCGCCTCGTGTTATTCGGTTCTTGTGCTTTGGAGAGCCTCGTGGCGGACAGTCGGTGACTCGTCTGTGAAGAAAGACTTTCATGGAGCTGGTGGAGAGGCCGGTCTTCGTGGTCGTCCTCGATCATCGGAGGCTGCGCCACGTAAGTCGCCGGTATTCCGGCATTAGAGCCTCGTTGGCTAGATAGACTATTCTTACTCTCTGTAGCTTCCCTTATCAAAATTGCCCCGACTCCGGACGGAATTTACAACGACCGTGCGACGATTATTTACACGATATTTACACGAGTACGTGAATCGCTTACGGACGACATACAAACTCACTCCTTAAGTTGTTAGAATACGCCACAATGGGATGATGACGATCGGGGGAGAGGGGAATATGTCACTTTTTAAGAAGAGACAATATTTCTTCGACAAGCTTTACCATATTTCATTGTGATACAATGTGGTGTGATACTTTGCACGCAAGTAAGTTGATAAAAGAGAAGAAAAAAGGGAAAAAAAGAAAGAAAAAGAATTGATTAAATGGAAAACATTCGTTAAAATAAGAAAGTTATTAAAATTCGAAAAGTGTGACGAGTTTGCAGTGTTTGAAAATATTTATTTGAAATGATAACGGGCCCATCTGAATACTTGTGGCTTCATTGATTTATTGCTATAGATTGCAAATTGTTGAGATACATACCGCATCTCACTCTTTACACCAAATATAATTTATACAATCTAGAGTCTCGGCTGTTAAAAAAATTATTTAGGCGTTATTGAATTATTGTTAAAATAAAACTTTTATCGGCGTGAATATATTAACGTGTCAATGTGAAATTGGTACGTCTTTCAATTAATGAATTTGAAATACACGAGACGTTCTTTTAAATGCAACAACAATACATTCGTATTGTCCAAATTTCTAAAATATAATCATCGCAACGTGCTTGTGATAATAAAATAACATATTCCTACGAGTTGCATCATTTATTTTGTTTTTTAACTTCAATACGTTCATATATCCTAATGAGGCTATTTATAAAGACATGATATGCGTGTAAAATTTTTAATAAATTCTCGACTCTGTGTACTATTATAAAATATGTAAAATTGAGGATAAATTTTTTAAAACAGTGACGCTTATGTATTAATTAAATATAAACAAAACAAAACAAAACAACAACAACAACAACAACAACAACAACAACAACAACAACAAAACAAAAGAAATAGAAAAAGAAAATTCATTTTATTTATCTTTTTCATAAATAATACATTTCAAATAATATATTCTAAATAAGTTGAGTTTCAAATTAGTCTATATAGTTAATATAATTTCAATTAGTTCAAATTAGAATATTCGTAATATGCATTTTTATAAACTAAAAACAAATAATAAATTTAAAATAACATTTTCATAATAGCGTAGATATTATAATTTTATTCCTAAAGTTAATTCTTATTCAATTACAATCATAAATTCAATACTTGCACTCTTTATTAATATATATTTTTGCTTAATGTTTTAACATTATTTACTATTTTATCACGTTAAAATTTTAAACAACTACATCATCGTTTGTACTTAAATTTTTGTTAAATCAGCATTAATCAAATATATCGCCCAAACGAATTTTCATTAAATTGAAAAAAAAATTGAGTTTTTGGCCCGTATAAATATATATATATATATATATATATATATATATATATATATATATATAATTATTAATTCTAAAGTAACAAGTATAACTTATGAAATCTATATATCTCATATAATCAGATTTACGTACATAATCTTAGTGATATCCCGGTGAATATCATTTCCAGTAAGATTATCGATTCACCTATAATCGCAATGTTTTCCCTTGATATAAGAAGCCACGGGAGGTGGGCGTATCAATATAAAATAGAGTGGGAGATGTCATTTATCTCGACAAATCTCAGTCGCTACTGACTGTCATTATCAGCTTAGAGTTATATCACAGATTACATATCAAAGGCTTGAATGCTTAATGAATCTGTTTAAAACATTGGGGAAAACAATTCATCATGCTTGCGCATGTATGGTAAAGACAATATTATAATTCGCAGAACCTTAGGCATGTAATGCAGCATAACCTTGCAGCGCTTCTATTATGAGTATAATGTAAAGGATGGAATATAAGTTGTCAGGATAATGCATTGGATATATATAGATATATATATATATATAGAGAGAGAGAGAGAGAGAGAGAGAGAGAGAGAGAGAGAGAGAGAGAGGGGGGGAGAGAGAGCGTGCCACCGTTCTGTGGTCACTGATGCATAAAACACGTATATGTAGAAATGCTATGGAGACGATATGGTTTTGCTTGTCGTTTTGCATTTGATTTCACATGAGTGGCGTGTAATTTGAAAATTAAGTATCTTCGTGGAGACAAGGAGAATACGCAACGGTAAAGGATGACTTTGGCCCATAAAGCACTGACAGCTCTTTATGCTCATTATATATAGGCGTAGCCAACAATTCCGAGGATATTTTATTTGTAAACACTTTAATTTATCATTAATGGGTAATTTCGAGCCACAAAGAAAACATGTCACAGATATTATTCATGGAAAGCTACGTTTAAGTTACGATTATGTTATGCCGCTCGCTCCAAGTGGTATTATGTTAATGTATAATAAAATGCAAAACAGACCTTTAACAATTATATGCTGCTTAGTCATTAAGAAGACGGTGTGTTTGGAATGGGTGGGAATTAATTATTAAAGATATTTTGAATTTTTTAGCGAAAACGAAATAGGGCTCTTTCTTTTTGTAAATTGATCAATTTATATTTATAAGATAAAAGTTGATAGAAAATTACAAACAATATAAAATATAACGCTTGTAACAGAAATAAAATTGATAATATAATGTATTAAATATGATTTGATTGTTCGACAGTTATTTTCATGTGAAAAATCATAATTAGACAGTTGACATAATCATATAAATGGATAATTATTTTTGAGTAACTTCATTATCTATTACATTTTCTTTATTTACTATTGTGTTTTCCAATTATATCAGCACACGAAACAACAGAATAAAAAAACTTTAGAGAAAAGAGTATATCTTAAGTTTTTGTTTATTATTAATGACACAAGAGAATTAGCTTGTCTCTTAATGTTTGAAAAGATTTAGAAATTTCAATATTTTTTTTTTTTCTAATTACATTCAATTACTCGCGGAGGTAATGATTATATCATAAATATAAATATAATTTTATTTTATTCCATAGGTGTCGGGCTCTTCCTAAAAACATCGTTTCCTTATACAAAGATTTTTTATCAATACAGAGTATTCACGCAATTATCTTTATCGTGCTTTTGCGCAATTAGGCGAAGGATTATATTCTCTTTGTCTATTTAATAATTTGTCAGGTGTATTATAAGGTCCAATTTATGAATTTTACACTTATTATGGAACGTAAAATTTTTCATTAAAAAACAAAAGAGAATTAATAGAATATAATCTGTATCTAGTATTCCAATTCTTGAAATCATAATTCATATTAAATTCTAATAAGAAACATTGGAAATTATTACTATACAAGACATAAAATTTATTTTGTTTCTTACAAATAATAAAAGATCAGAACAGAGCCTTTAAAACCATTTCATATACTAGAGATAAATAGAGATAACGATAAGTGGATAATGAATGCTATATGTAAGCGTTAAACATGTGTATTGCAATACACAATATGGTTAAGCATTTACAGTTTCAAAAAATAGAAATTCTATACGATTTATGAGATCTTTTATTAAACTTTTCAACTATAGGAGTAAACTACGTAATACAACGTATAAAATAATTTTCACTATTTATTTACATTTAATAACAAAAATATAACTAGCAAGTAATATATTAAATTATTATTATTAATATTGTTATTGTTGTTGTTATAATAATAATAGTAATTATTATTAAATGTATGAAATTAAATTGCAAAATTCCATTGTACAATATATAAGTAAACAAGTTGTAAAACAAATATAATAGTTTAAGGAACTTTTTATTTTTAAAATGCTTTAATGAAACATGAAATAAAATCGAAAAATAATTAATAAATAAATAGATTCATCAAAGATAAATAAATTTAATATTCTTTAACTTATATTTTATTGGAACTTTACGATAATCTGGTAAAAATTTTAAAGGATACTCCACTTTATATGCCGAGAATATATGTAAAGAGTACATTTTCTAATTAATCAGTATGATATGAATTATATTTATATAATTTTGTAAGATTTGAATTTTGTATATTAATAATCATAATCATTTATAATAAAAATTAAAATATATTTGAATATAAACTATATTTAAGTGACGACTATATATATATATATATATATATATATATATATATATATACGACTATATATATGTATATATATATATTACAAATAAAGCATTATTCGAAATTTACATTAATTTATTTAAAGTGTTTGAATAAAAATTCTAATAAAAATTTTAATCAAATATATATAACAACAACAATAATAATGATGACGAGAACGACGACGATGACGATGATGACGATGACGACGACGATGACGATGATGACGACGACGACGATGACGATGATAACGACGACGACGACGACGATGACGATGATGATGATGATCCACTTCAGAATATTCTAATTATTAAATATACAAAGCTATCCCATCTTATTTTGTATGGAAAGTACGCAAATGTGTCTCTTTGCTTGTACAGATCGTCATTGGACTTTGCTTACTCGTTGCGATAAACAAAGTGACCTGTCAGTTGGATCTGCCGCCGTTACGCGATGACAGATACGACAGTCAAAGGCCACAGGATGGCAGATACGATTATAACGACGGGGGCAGAGCCCATCAGAACAACGGATACGGTCTAGGGGACGAAAGACGTCCAGCGCAGGACGATCGGTACGACACGAACGATGGCAGGAGGCCATCTCAGGACAACCGATATAGCTGGAACGACGGGAGAAGACCGGTGCAGGACGATAGGTACGACAGGGACGAGGGCAGGAGACCGTTGCAAGATCAGCCGGGACGAGGTGGCGATGGTTACGGTCACAGCGGCACCAGGAGACCACAGGAATTCGATTACAGGAACCTCTTGGCCAGTCTCGATTTCGTTGGTACGCAAACGTGCAGCAATAATGTTGCCGCCCAATGGAATTATGAGACGAACGTGAACGAAGTGACGCAATTGCAAGCGGTAAGGAAGTTGTTGATATTCATAGTTTTCCCTTGAGCTTCCGGTGGATATCTCGAGCCATCAGTCTCGAGCGTCTATCATTATTAGTGTACCTAAGTTCTTAATTCTAGAGTGTGTCCGGGTGTATTCCAGGTATTCGTAATTATTGAAAATTCCAAAAACGGTATTACGATTAATATTTAAGTATGTCGATAAATCTCGCATGTCTCGAAATAAGTAAAGCGACGGTTGATAATTCATACTTTTTATGTCCTCATTGTTGGTTTTTTCTATCTCTCTATTACTATTTCATAATTTACCAAAAGAGCCACGTGCGTGGTGTGAAAACAATGACCTTTTATCGATTGACCTAATTGTAGCTAAATTATCTATGGGATTACTTGTAAAGCTCACTCACTTTCACAGTGCTGAGATATACAAATATTTTTCAAGCGTGGCTGTGGTCGGTAGAAAAATAAAATTCGTTACATCGTTATAATGAGAATATAACGGTGATAATTTGTCGGGATATTATGAAATTATTAACGAATTATATAATTGATTTTTATATTCGTGTATTCTCAGGGCCATTTTTTCTTCATTCGGAAGTTTTTAATACACGTTGAAATAGAATAGTTATAAGCATATTTTTTATTTAGTTAATAATTCCAATAGTTTTAGTATTTATGAATCTATGGTGTTAATAAATTTGTATTAATAAATTTGATGAAATAGTTATGTTATATTTTTCATTACGCAGCGTAATAATTGACTATTGTTTATTGGTTTCACAAGGCTGAGAAAGAAGTCGACGTTATTTTATAAATAAAAATATATTTATAATCATCCATATAAATATACTCTGCCATTTCAGAAAGAAGAGCACTTCAAACGTGTATAAATTAATTTTCTCTTGCATTGTCTTTGTATTAAAGGTAATGGAGCCTTAATTGTACGATGAATTTTACAAATGTCTACAAGACAAAGTGATTTGTTATTGTTCTTTTTTTATTTGTTTGCTTGTTTCTATATTTATTTTTTCTTCTTCTAAACCACTTTAATTGCGCGTATACTATAAATACTCAGGCGCTTATTGATTATCATAGCGCGACTCTATTGAGAGCGAAATTGAGATTAATATCGCTCAATGCTTATTATCCAAGAAAGCCCAGGGAATTGAAAATCGTAAAAAACTAACAAAGAAAAAATGGAAATATCGATCGATTGCTACTATTACTATAATTATTAGCAAACATAAAAAATTATGTACATTATTCGACCAGGTCACAGTGCGCTGGGCATTAAAATTAAAAGGAGAAGAAATAAAGCCACACAATGATTCTCGTCGTAGGTCGGCATTATATTTTTATAAAAGAATGCTTTTGCATGGTTGACAGCGGTTATTCCCATAAGCGATTATCGAAGCATCCGACATTAATCGTGCGAAAGCCAAGCAGCGCTCCGAGGAAAGCAAGTGGAAACGCAACGATCGCCGCCGAATGGGAAAAAGCCCGGCGTCGCGAGGCCTCGACCCAACGTTCCGACTCGCTCGTCCCCGTTAGCCGACGTTGGTTGGCTCCTTCTCCGAAGCAAATTTCCCCGATAGCGCGAAGACGAAGACGGACTCTCGCGGGAAATGTTCCCAGCCGGTGCCATTGTCTATGTATTAGCCCGAGGATTGAGCAACAGCCGCACGAGTATCGCCGCGTCAAGGCATGACAGCCGATCAATTGCCGCCCGTTTTAAAACGTCAGCCATGTCGTCTTCGCGGCTTCTCCTTCTATCCTCTCGGTACCCTCTTCGCCCCACCACCGCCACCGGCCCACAAAACGTAATGCACTTTAATTAAGGGTCATGGAGGGCCATGGAGGGCGGGCTCGGAGCCTTGCGGCTGCATAATTGGGAAACGCTTGGCGCGTGCTGCGTTGGCCGCGTGGGGGAGGGGAAACTCGCCACGCACTATTAAAAAGGGACACTGCGTAAATAATACGTTTGAAAAGTGAAATTTACGCCGCGATGTTAAAATGTGGATTGCGCAGAAACTCTGTAGAAACATGACGATGCGTTAACGCTGGGATTAAGAGGGAGCCGAGGCGAGTTTTGACGCTTGGACGGTGAACGTCGTTTTTCGCGGACCTTGAATCGAATATGAGAGAGATATCGTCGATTGAAAAGCGACGAGATCGTAAGGTTACGTGATCAATTGCCAGAATTGTAATTAAAGTGTGAACAAGTACCGTAGTTTTCTAGAGTGCGAGGGTAGATTGTCGAGCGTTATCATTTGCGTTATCAAATAGGAAGAAATTGTTGTGATGAAAGGTGCAATTAGAGTAAGGGCGGCTGACAATGTTTTACCTGTGTAATGTTATATTAACATGATGATCCATGCATGGGATTCGGGTCAAACGTGGGGCTAAACGATTAGAGACGACAATGAGAAAATCATTGTAAAGCAACGAAGGAGACGAACGATCCCGTAGTTATATCTTATGAATGTCCATTATTTTGATAGGAAAAAGATCATAATTGACATTCCCTTTTGCATAGGATTTGTAAAGTCGCCAAAATTATGTGAAAGGATATTTGAAATTTCATGCTGAAATATAATATGCTCTATGGATTCGGTCAAATAAAGGAGATAAATAATTTTTAATCTTTGCGCGATTATTGCAATCGTGATAGTCGACTTTTTCATACTTCCCCAACCCTACGAACATTTGAAATGAAAATTTCAAACGAATTTAGATAAATACATACAAGATTCCCTTTATCACAGTTTTCTTCGTATCCATTGATGATCCTTGGAAAAGTGTATTTTTAAATTGTTAAAAAGAGTCGTTAGAGAGTTCACGATAATGTCGTGTAAAATGCAGTGTAACCGAGGCAACGATTACGACGGTTAAAACAATAATAGTTGTCGGCTTTTCTTCGTGGGAAATTCGCGTCGAGCCGAGGCTTATCTCGACTGGCAAAATCGCAAAAAAAAAAAAATATATATATATATATATATATATATACACAGCGCATGCAGCGACGGTATTAGCGAAAACCCCTCGCTAAGCTTAGCCTAGATAGGACGAGTAAACGACATGTCGCTTTACTAGCAGCAATAGCCCCGTCCTGCTCACAATGCACTCGTAGATAAAGTAATTCTAATTGCATGAGGATTAATGTCCTTTTGGAAGAAAGCCAATGCCAATCGCCGGGCAGAGATGCGTATGCACATTAACGTATTTGTTGTATGTTGTATGTTCGCAGCTGCAAGCCCAGAGGCTCTACGCTGATTTTCAATACCAAGCTTGGCTGCAGATCAGCCAGATTGATCCGAATTCGGTGAGGGAGCCAACGATCAGGAGGCGGCTGAGATATCTTTCGGCTGTTGGTCCAGCGGCTCTGCCGCCCGATCAACTCGACAGGGTAAGTGTACTTTGTAGGTGGAAAGCAAATCGAATGTCTTCGGTATTCCAGCGACACAATTACACAAACGGTTTTTTATTATCTATCTTATTTTAGCTAATAATAGTGCGTAAAAATCCTTCCGAAATCCGTAAAATTGATGCTTAATCCGTGCCTTTCCTATACTGTAATTTATCACAAAAAATCTAAAGACATTCTTTTTCAGGTATTAACTTTGAAACTTTACACAAATATACTTGGATTATCCATTGGCTGCTTACGAAACATCATTTCGTACACTTAATAATGAACTATGTTGTTTCAGTACAACCGCATTATCAACGATATGCTGTCTATATATAACAGTGCGACAATTTGTGCGTACAAGGATCCTCTAAACTGCGGATTCCGTCTATTTCCTGGTACAGTAATGCATTCATAAATTTATTATTTATTGTTCGTGAGTGAACTATACCAACAGTATTCTGCATTTAATCAAACTGAAATTTAATATCCTATAATACAGATATATTTATCTTAGTACATTTATCATAATATTCATTTATCATAATACACACACGCGCGCGCGCGTAATATATATATATATATATATATATATATATATATATATATATATGTAGTAAATTGAGCACCTCATCATTTAAATATACAAACATATTTATTTAGCTTAATTATTAGACTTCTAAGAATTGCTTTCGGTATAATGTATAAAAGTCATACTAGTCATGAAATTTATTAAAGTGAGCATTTAAAATTAAAAATAACTTTGTTGTAAGCATATTACTCACACTTAATTGCCATCTCTTTTTTACTCAAACAGAATTAATTATTTTCAAAAGCGTAAGAGTTGCTTGTATTATTAGCATAAAGTGGTTAATATCAATGAGATTCTTAATTCATAATGTCATTCTTGCGTTGTTTTAAAATTTTACTGCAATATGTACACTCACTATTCAGATTTTTATTTAGTTCTTTTACTACTTTTCAGATTGCTCTTTATTCATATTATATTATATTATATTGAACTTCGGAAAGAAATGTATGAAATTTCGCTTATTTTTATGCAACACCATTTGAGCGCTTAAAAACGCTTAAAAAGCTCAAACACGTTTAACATGTGGATTAGTCCGGTGTATAATCATGAAAAAAATATTATCGTTATTGATTATTTTTCACTCTCTCTCTCTCTCTCTCTCTCTCTCTCTCTCTCTCTCTCTCTCCTCAAATCTACGGCATTCACATGAACAAATGGGCGCTTGCAGAAATATCGCAAATCATGGCTCGAAGTCGCGATTGGGACGAATTGCAATGGGTCTGGCTCGAGTGGAGACGACGAAGCGGTTCTCAAATGAAGAGCCTCTACCAACAGTTGGTCGATCTCAATAACGAGGCTGCCCATATTAATAGTAAGCTCATCTTCAACTCGTAAATCACGTATTTAATGGTAAACTCTGCTCGTCTTTTAAATATTTTTGTAATATTCTCCGTAGACTTTACGGATGCTGCAGCGTACTGGCAATTCCCTTACGAGTCTTACAATTTTGAGCGCGACGTCAACGAGGTTTGGGAAGAGATTAAGCCTTTGTACGAGGAATTACACGCTTACATTAGAAGGAAGCTTCGAGATCTTTATGGACCAGAAAAGATTAGCGGACACGCGCCATTGCCATCTCACATCCTTGGTAACATTTGGTTTGCAGTAATTGATTTACGAGCATTAAAGATTAGTTGAATTGGCAAATATTGATCGAAGGCTCGAAACTCGATGATCGCACCACTCCTTTCACTCACACAATAAATAATATTTTTCATATCGCATTTATGGATTACATTTTCTGACGATAAAAAACATTCAGCCGTTAGTAAATGCAATGAATAACGTTTAAAAATTATTTGCTTATTTATAAGTCAAAGCTTTAGTCGTAAGCTTCATCGGTTGAAGCCTTTCATTATCGCTTATTGTTTTGTTAAACATTTTTATTTTATAATAATGTTTGTTGACAGGTAATATTTGGGGACAGTCGTGGACAAATATTTTGGACGTCACACTGCCGTATCCTGGAAAAAATTACCTGGACGTGACACAGGAAATGCAGGCGCAGGTTAATATTGATGTTGGTACATTGAACATTGAAATAATGGCAAATATTAACGCAAATTATGATAATTTAGGGTTACACGCCGATCGACATGTTCAGAGTTGGAGAAGACTTTTTCTTGTCCTTGAACTTGAGCGCATTGCCCCCAGAATTTTGGGCGGGAAGTTTAATCGTTGATCCAGGTGATAGATCCCTCATATGTCAAGCTTCAGCTTGGGATTTTTGTAATCGCATTGATTACAGGTGAATAAACTCACGTTACACTACTTTCTATCATTACGTTATCATTAATTTTTCAAAATGTAAGCAAGTTTACGAGGATAAATTTATCGCACATTAAAATCAATGAATTGAAAATCAGAGTATTTCAAATGCATTATACATAAAATTCGTACTCCATTTATCATCCAATTTATTTACTTTAATAATAATAATAATAATAATAATAATAATAATAATAATAATAATAACAATACTTAATATACTAATTAGAAATAGAATAGTCTGAGTTGAAATTATATGTAATTAAATTAATGTCATTGAATTGACGCTAGTATTAGTCGATAATGTGAAACGAGTGAAAAATTTATTGTTTTTATCCATGCTTATTATAATCCCACGATCGTTGTATAATTCGCTTACAAAAAATTAATTATTTGCAGAATAAAAATGTGCACGAAAGTAACTATGAAGGATCTTATAACCGTTCATCATGAAATGGCTCATATTCAGTACTTTTTGCGCTACAGTCATCTACCACGGGAATTCCGTGATGGTGCTAATCCTGGTAGGAGAAGAAAATAAAATTTACTTTCAATTCTGATAATAATAAAACTACGACAGTCAGGAAACTTTAAATACCTGGACATAAATTTTACATTCTTAGAGGACTTTTTAAAAGAACGATTTTCTCACTTCCTTTTCACTTCATTCGAGGATAATATTTTCTTAACCATGAAGTCAATAACAATAAATCTTATTATTACCGATAATAATTAAACTTTCGCCAACTACAGCTGACTTTTGAAAACAGCCAGCCTAAACATACTTTACGATAATAAAAATAATTCTGTCTTAATTAACCAATAGAAAATTTACATTTACTCGTATATGTAATATTCGTATTATGCATTGGACGTTAAGAGCAATGAAACATGATAAGACGGATCGTTTATCCAATGTGCATAATAATAAACAAATATGTTGTAAAATGCTATTAATTTTGACGATAATATTGGACGAAATGAAAAAACAAAAAAAAAAAACAAAAACAAAAAAAATTCCCTTAATCAAAAGACATTGCGCTACGCTTCTACGAATAATATTTAATTTTTCGTAGGTTTTCACGAAGCGATCGGGGAGGCAATCGCTTTAAGCATAGCGACTCCGAAACATTTGCAAACTCTGGGATTAATGAATAAATTTGTCGATGAACGAGCCGCCGATATAAACTATCTCTTTTCTTTGGCAATGGAAAAATTGGTTCTACTCCCTTACAGTATTGCCTTAGACAAATGGCGCTGGGATGTATTCCGAGGAGTTGTTAGCAAGGAGGAATATAATTGTCATTGGCATCGATTGAAAGAGCGTTATTCGGGCACGAAGCCACCAGGAAGATGATTTCGATCCTGGATCCAAGTATCATATCCCAGCGAACATTCCGTACATAAGGTAAGTGGAATGGGAGGGAGGGGAGTATATATATTTTTTTAAGAAGATCATGATTTCTTAACTTACTTCGTACATTTATCGAGAAATAGGATTTACGAATGCTTATGTTTATTTAATAAAATAATGGCTTATCCAAGTATCATAATGAGCAATAATGATAATATTGTAATGAGACGAGAATTATGACGAGCACAATGAAAAGTACGATAATGAAGGATTAATATCCAAGTGTATTTTCAGTTTGGTAACATTTGAGGCTCTGTAATATCCATTTGCCGAGATTAGTTATTAATGAATATTTATATGTTGCTGTTGTTATTGTTATTATTATTATTATTATTATTATTATTATTATTATTATAATAACAGTGTTTTTGTCATTATACGTTACACGAATTGCATTCAAAGTCTACTAATATACATCCTATAATAAGTTAAAAATTTTGTTAGAGAGAGAGAGAGAGAGATAAAATATAGCTTAGATAAGCTTAGATATTCAATATTCGATTAGGTATTTTGATAATCGAACGGTAGATGGATGCTTGTTGCTCAGTTTGCGGCGCAGCATTTTTATTGGCATAAAAGACCAAGCCTCCACTCTCAATACCATAGGATCTATTGAGTAGTCGTTTCGATGATAATTGATGTCTTCCAGCGATCTTGAAGAAAATCACGATATTATTTTACACTCGCGCATCGATAAAACTTATTCTATAACATTTCATTTACCTACCGGTTTCTTATAATATTTCATAGACTCGATGATATTTCCATCCAGACCGTTTTGACGTTTGTGGATAGTTGGACGGGCGACTGGAATCGTTAGAAAAAACTTCATCGGCCTACCTCGATTGGCCTCGCTTTTGCTTGTGTAGGTGTACATTGGTTGTCGAGGCGCGTAAACCTGTCGATGCGACATTTGGTACATCGGCAGATGATCGACGGCAGTCATGTCCACCGTAGTCATCGCAGTCGGGGACAAATGATTCGACGCATCTGCCAGTTGTCTCTCCTCGTACGATCGATCATTGCCGAATGTCGAGTCGCCGAGCGACATGTCGTGGAATCCCTTCCAGAATTCCCGATCGATCCGACCTACCTTCCCGTCGTCCCATAATGGCCGATGTCTGATCCAACCCATTTGCTTGCTACTCGACCAGCCGTCGCTTTGCAATTGAGTCGCGTACATTTTAAATATTCGCGCAGCCTCGTTATCATCGACGTCGACCTTCATCTCCTCGATGTCGGATTTTGGCAATGAGTACGACCGCGAAAAGGTCTTGGTCCTAGCGTCGCTCGTACTTTTGAGGCCAAAGTTACCGCGGAAACTAGCGTCGCTGCTGATTTCCAAGCTGTCCAAGTCAGCGGTGATATCGAGCTCGGCCTCGTAATTATCAGAATCGCTATCCTGAATCGGTGTCGAAGTCGTCGAAGGATCGCCGCCCTGCTCGACATTATCGACGCTTGGCTCCGAGGAACCTTCGTATTCCGCGGACCGATTCTTTTCCCACTGCCTTTCGCCGTCATAGCCGACGTCCTCCTCCGAGGCCGTAACCTTGTACAGAGGCTCGTACGCGTAGCGACTATCGTGGACAGTGGGGTCGTGATGCCGGGTGGACTCGGAACCCGGTGCCGCGGCTTCCTCGGCGGTCTTCCTCGCGTTCGAGTAGGACTCCTTCACGGTCACCGTGATGGTCGATGAATTACCCGAGTTCAGGGCTTTCTCGACGGCGCGCTCAGCCGCTTTTTCTGCAGCGCGCTCGACCGCGAGCTCCGCCGCTCGCTCTAGGTCCATTTTGCTCGTGGACAGCACCGCCAGGGCGGCCGCCGAGCTGCACAATAGAAAGGCAGACATGCCTCGTAAGAGCTGCAAGTGAACATTTAGTCTTAATCGGCTTTTCCTTTACTGGCGGATGCTCTTAATCCGCTTGTGCCTCGAGATATTCCCGAATAATCGTAAGGAGGGAGCGACAAGGACATTCGCTTGAAAAAAATTCAGATTTTGAGAAGCGACGATGATCGATGGCAAATTAATATTTAACGGCCTTCAACACATTACGGACATTAAGCATCTTTAATATGTACGCACTTCGGCAATAATTTATAAAACGAAACTTTAAATAAAATTACACAATGCTATGATGCGGCAACATTCAATCATGTAAATATGTTCGGAAATGCCGTTGTTGCGAATGAGCGTGCACAGGTGCTAATATTTTTTACTAAAAATATAAATTAATAGTACCAAAGTTACAAAAAAGCATATATAAAATAGTATTTTAACAAACTTCATTAGGAAATTGAAGATTGTGGAAAATTAATACCAATGAAATCTAAGTGTATTTCATGATAATTTTGCAATTTTATCGTTACAAGCATTCGCTATCGTTATACAACGCTACAATCATTAATTTTGTTCAAATTTAGCTTTCGGATTAAAACCATCCTGTAGTCGCCAACCCCTCGCAATCCCCACCCTAAGCGCTATATCTCAAAGTAACCATTAGTACATAAATTGAAGACAAAATCCATAATTATCGCGACTATATTTGGATCACGAAATTCGAAGGAAGAATTTAATTTCATAATGTTCACATGTTGCAAGATTAAGAGGTCGCAGTTCATCCAACCCCGATGACCCGAAAATTCGCAAACTAACGAAGTTGATTAATTATGCGTTCGTTACATAAAAGGGCTGAGAATGAGAATTAGAATTCAAACGATTTAAGTTAAAATGCTCGCGTAAATTTAATCAATAAATACGAACTACTGAATAAATTCGAGCGAGGGTAGGGTTAGGATTCTCAAAGTCAATGACAAATAAAAGGACTTAATAATAACCATCACAAAGTTCACTATTTCAAATAATCGAATCAAATGTATCCGTCAGTGCTTTCTTAATGAAAATCGATGATCCAGCCAGATAGGAACGACTAAAAATATCAGTGACAAACCAAACGTTTCCGTAACGATGCGATCTTGGATCCTCCGAGACACAAGAGAGAACTGAATAACGAATTACGACCCCAAGTATTATTTATACTTATCGAGAACTTTCTCGTATAACTTCAACAACCTCAACTGTCTGACATTCTCTTAAAGTTTTATTGTCTTTGCTACTTCCTTCTTACCTTCGAAAACTAGCAATTACGTTTCATTTCGAGCGCGTCTTAAGCGTCATTTTTATGTTTTATTTATTTTATCGACTTGACAACATTTCCTTTAACAAAGTCTACAATTCATATTATTTTTCTTGGGGGGGGGGGGGGATTTATAGAAGAATTAATGTGAAGCAATGGTTCTACTATTATTAAGTAACTAATATTATCATTTTACATTTACATGAACAAGTGAATAATATATTTAATAAATAAGTAAATGTAAATAAGAAAATAAATACATTTATAAATACATTTAATTATAATATAAATTTCGTTCATAATTATTATCAAATGTATGGATTAAATTAAATATATTTTGCTATACTTTGGCTAAAAATCATCATGAAATTGAATGGTTCTCACATGTTGAATAGTTCAGACAATTATTAATTATATATATATATATATATATGTGCGTGTATTAAAAAAAATTCCAGAAATAATATTATATTAGTAATACGTAAAATTAGAAAATTTTGAAAAATAATTGCTCAAGTAAATTTTTACTATTTTTTAATTACAAGCAAAAATTTTCTTTTATAAATATGGAATATTTTGTAGAAAATCAATGTAAATTGACGTCACCAATGAAACTATAAATATTAAAATATATTTTCGTCTTATTATCAAATATTTACAATACAAATTAAAAGTACAAGATTTTAAAATTTTAAAATCTTCTAATTAAGTTTCTACAGAAGCTGAAAAGCTACTTAGTCATACCTCTTATACTTCAATTTCTTATTATTTATTATCCTTGAAAATACTGTTTAAAAAATATGAACAATAAACGACAGTCTGTAAATTTTCTCTTAAATACACTCGCTTAAAGAACAATGTTTTTTTCCTTTCTGTATGTTTTTTTTTTTTTTTTTTTTTTTTTTTTTTTTTTTTTCTTTTATAGACATTCGAAATCGTTGAGAGCAATTTCTGACAAAACATATACTTAAAACAATTACTTTAGTTAATAGGATGTGATTAAAGAGGAAAAATGAAATTTATGGTAGGCACTCTTGAAGTTAGAGTTGATCGTGATTGCTGCAGCATAACAAGAACTTCAAATACACGCAGCCGGCGTGACTGCATAATTATCATTTGTAGCTTTCATCTGAATTTCTTTCAGCAACTTTTATTTCTATTATTATTTTTCTAGTAAACATTAATGTCAATTGTTCAATTGCTGGTGATTATAATGATCCTTGCAATAAATATATCTTATTAATCAGTAAAGTACATTGAATAATATACACTGGCTTACATAATGTTATAAGTATTGTTTCGGATGC